AACTCCCAGAATTCCCCAGCCAGCCAAGCTGGCTGGGGAATTCTGGGAGTTGAAGTCCACACGTCTTCCAGTTGCCGACATTGAGAAAGGCTGCCATAGAGCTTTCTCCCAATGGGAATCAGACCCCGTGAGGGGGTCAGGAAGATTCTGAGACCTGGAGTCTGAAACCTGGATAATCCAGCACCCTCTGGACCATGTCTCTGAGCTTCCCTAGGGCATCGGCTGCCGTATGGCCCAGAATGCTGTATGGCCAAGCTCTTCTCCAGTTCCATCCACAAACTTCTTCAGTTCTTTGTAAGTTCTAAGACCCCCTTTGCTGGGGCAAATGCAGGAAGCCCAGGGCTGCCTCCAGAGGACCTGGCTCTCGCACTCAAGACCTTTCTCTGCTGCCCCCCCCAAGGGAGGTGCTTCTTTGGGGCTCCTGTGTCCTCTGCTTGCCAACCCCGTCTTCTCCCCCACGCAACCCGGCCCCTTACCAGCACTCGCCGGCTCTTCTGCAGGGTGATGGTAACTCCCTTTAACTGGACCGTCACGAGGCGCAGGTAGGAGGCCTCTGGCTGCCCACGCTCCTCGTTCTTGGCCGTGATGTTGAAGGCTGGGAGGCGAGGGTCGTGCTGGCACAGGGACACCAGGGTGTAGGTGCAGGTGCCCATGAAGGAGACCATCTTGCCATCAAAGGTGTAGTAGTGGGGATCTCCAGCCACGTGGCACGTGGCCACCCCTGGGAAGAGGGGCAGGGGTAGAGGTGAGTGGGGCCCTGCCATGAGTGTGGTGGGGCTCCCAGAGATGCCACTGGGCACAGGGAGAGGTCTCACCTATGTCTTGGCAGCCCAGCAGGCCATCCACGGGCCGGCACTCCTGGACAGGGGTACAGCTCCATTCCTCGCAGGTGATCTGGTTGCCAGCAGCACAAGTACAGCGTTCGGTACAGTCCAGGTTTCCCATCCAGCTGTCACCGGCCTGAGAACGAAGCGGAGGGCGTTGAGGAGGAACCGGCCAGGGTGGCTGGGCGGGTGTCGTGTCTGTCCCCCAGAATCCTGGCCTTCAGTGGCCTCCGCTCTAGCTCTCCCTGGCTCAGGGTGGCGTTGCAAGCCCTGTGGGGCATAAGCCCCCCTCTTGCTCTAACTCTGCACACAAGAACGTGCTCAGCCGCCTTCCGTGTCCGACTGACTCCTCTCCACCTTCAGCCAAGGGCCTGAGAGGCTCAGAGGCTGCAACCCCTTTGCCGACTCATCTCTTCCCTCCAGAGCCCCCTCCTTCTCACCACATGGTAGTGCCCGTTGGAATCCGTGCAGCCGCATTGGCTGAGTGGGACACACTGGTCTCCACTGAGGACAGAGCCCTGGTCGCAAACGCAGCCCTCCACACAGGGCAGGTCAGGGCAGCTGTCTTGGGATTCTGGATCCGTGCAGGTTGCCGGGCAGGCTGACCCACAGGGCGTGTAGGAGCTTCCGGGAGGACAGTTCAGGGCTGGAGAGAGAGAGAGAGAGAGAGGATCCGTATCACTCTTTCGTCCTTCCTGCAGGTTCAGGATTCTCGGATTGTTTCAGGAAAGTTGGTAACTCCAGATTCATCTTCCATTCATCCTGAAATGGAAGGCTATGGGATGGAAGCTTCTGATTAAAGGTGCAATAGCCCTTAAAAGCTTTGCTCCTGCTTAGCGTCTCTACTCCAAACAGGCTGATGCTGCTGGTTCTGGTGGTGCAAATAAACAAACACCGCCTACAGCAAAGCAGGAAAGAACAAGGAACAGCCATCCAGAAGTTATTCCATCCGATCCCTGGGCAACGGCATTGCCTGGACTTCCTATAGAAATCAGCGAACAAAGGAAATTCGTTCCACCAAAAAGACTTTGTGTAAAATTTACTGTGTTGGAATTTTCTTATTTCTGGTCATTTGTATGGCAGTGTTTGGAAAGCGCATAATATCTGCTTATCCACATTCTCCCCTCCCCAGACTCAGCATCAAAACTGAGCCCTATAGATGACTGTGCTTTTACATTTTATTTCTGTTTTGCTGCATCAGTTTTTAATTGTTTGCAAGCTGCCCCGAGAAGCCCACTACGGGGCAGTCTCTCACTACTAGGAATACAGAGGACAAGATTTACGGCAGAAAGTGCTGTTCCTCCAGACGATGGTGACCCCGGCTTGGGCGCAGCGGTCGGCGTAGGACTGTAGGGAGGAGCACAGTAACTCTGTGTCTCCTCCAGTGCCACAGAGATCGTAGAAGCAGCTCTGGAACGCCCCCTGCGGAGGCACCTTGTCGTGGCATGGGGCAAATGGGCCTAGAGGGAAGCAGAAGGTCAGTTCGTGATCACCCCCAGACGCCGACGCCACTCCTAAAAAGCCCCCAGAGAGCCCCAGTCTTACCTTGGGGATCTGTGAGAATCCCACAGCTGGAGGGTCCCTGAGCTTCAGCCGCAACGTCCGGATCGCATTCTCCAGGGTCCCCGGAGTTAGTGCAGCTGTAAGAGAGCATTGCGCAAGTGACCGAGGGGACAGACTTCTTCAGCCTGGTGTCCTCCAGTTCTGCTGGATGACACCTCCCATGACCAGGCTGGATGGCGAGGGAGCAGCAATCCAATGCATTCGGTAATTCCCCCTCTCCAGCCCTTCCCCCCTGCCCCCCACAAAGGAAGTTTTGCTCCAATCTGAACTTTCATAATGATCTATTTCCCCTTCTTTTAGACCAGTGTTTTTCCAACTTGGCCACTTTAAGATGGGTGGACTTCAACTCCCAGAATTCCCCAGCCAGCATTCTGAGAGTTGAAG